CAAATCTCTAGTACCAATGAAATCCTGATTCGCAAGCGAGAGAGAACATCCTGGGAGTTCATCCTCAAAGCTGAGCAAATATTCTTGACGCGGATATTGCGACTGTTCTTGCGACTCCTTTTCCCAGTGCATGGGGATGTGGATATTGGATTGTGGATGGGGCAAGATATCTTTGGCTCTGCACAACAGTTGTAATTGTTTGTAAACACGATAGTGATAGTTCTGGCAAACAATTGGAGTTGTATGCCAGGGACTGACTGTAAGTGGCGCCAAGCGGCAAATATGACTAGCGAACGACAGTAGCCGAGCCGGGTCGGACATCGACAGGGTACCATGTCGATCCGGGGAAGATATCGAATGCGATATCTATTTGCTGTGACAGTCAGTCAGGACAGGAAGACAATCAGACAATCAGACAACGGCATGGAGATATGATAGACACATGATCGATGATCGGCGATGATGATCGTGATCATTGTCATTGGACGTATGGCGACATCAGCCTGGCATTAATTGTACAGTTAGAAGTGGCCCAGGTCTAGGTAGAAAAGGGTCATTACCCATCCGGGAAGGAAAGGAAAGGTAAAGGGGAAAAGGAAGGCAATTAGCCGACAAATAGAGGAACATCTGCGAAATGCGATGAAAAGCGTTGACAAATATTTCATGGTTTTCCTATGCAAATTTCACTCTCCCTCTGCTGCCTCCCACTGCCGCATATGCCGAGAAAATCTGCCTTCTCCGCAGCGCAATGGTGCCCTCTCTCTGCACTTGACAGAATTTATAAAGAAATTAGCTGCGGCCCAGCAGCAGGAGGAAGGACAAGTGTGGCAGTGGTAGGACGACTGGAAACTGGCTGGAAGCGATGTCAATCTAAACATGTGTTCCTCGGATAATGCCGAGCGGCCGAGCTAAATGCATAAAATATTGATACAGTTTGTTTTATGGTCCATTATATGATGATGACAAAATGGTTTGTCTTTGTTCCCCGTTCATCCCCCGGACACATGCAAAGTAACGCCGGATCCCCGGCATCGGGGAGCCAGGACAATTTGTCATCGCCCTGCGAGGGTTGTTTAATGAATTAGAAAACCGCACACGAATTAATGATGATCATGATCATGCCTCAAGCGACAGGAAACGAACTGGGGTGGCAGCAGTCTCACATTTGACTTTGACTCTCACTTCGAGGCTGAAGGCTGATTCCCATTGTACCCCAGTACTAGCGGACGGAGGCAATAAAATTTATCAAATATACAAAAGGATTACGGAGCAGGGCCGCATAAATCTGGGTGGGTTTTAAACTGTCAAAAAAGAGCAGCCCCGTCTGAGCAAACAGAGAGAACGGAGAGAACTGCAGTCAGTCCCTGAATCTGCACCAGAACCCAGAACCCAGAACCAACCGGGGGGAAATGTTGCTTCTTCGGCCCCTGATAGCTACTAATCTGGGGATTTACATGCGCCGGCAATTATGGCAATATGTTCGCCCAAACTCCGACCTCCCGACTCCCCGTCCGTCGTCTGTTCCATTGTCTATCGTTTTCGTCTTTTTAATTTTTCAAATAGAACTCACTTTTTAATTCAATTACCAGCCAGAACTCGGCGCCCAAACAACGCCCATAAAAACATTTGCTGTCCACAGTCGAATCTTTCCCTTTCGGGTTCCCAAGCGCGGAGAGTGGACTTCTTTTAGCGCTCCTTTTTTATCAGGTCAGGTGTCGCCAATGGCCCGGAAATGGGAACAACATTTGCAACATTCGAATCGTTGCGAGTGCATAAAAAAGCGATTGAATGTTGCCACAAAGGAGCCACAATCTGTTCGCTGGGAACGGGAATCACACTGGCCAGGGATGAGAATTGAAGGGAGAATGGGACTGGAGAGCTCCCACTACGATAGTGTAACAGACCCAACTTTGAGAGTGTGAGGGTGTGGTAGAGGAATGTGTATTAGTTCTGATTGAAAGATTCTTCGACTACTTAAACTATTTTATTGATGATTGGACAATTTTCTGTACGTAATACCAACAACAGTTCCAGTATTCATATCTCCAGCTGTAGCTTTCGCCATTCTCCCTGATTAAGTTACCTCATTGTTCACATATGTGACCATCAATCCATCCATCCATCCATCCATTCATGCAGCTGTGTGGCTAGAGATCAGACCACCCATTAGTGCAACTGTTTGTACTTATACGAGTATAGTCGTAGTGTACTCGTAGAGAGGCAGCCGCCTCGTGGAGTAGTTGCCCTTATCGATGTTATCTGGGGAATGACGAAACCAATTTTCACTCTGGCTATCTGTTGGGAGAGAGTGATAGAGACAGCCCGGAAATGGGAACCCATTTCACACATTTAACTTTCGCAGGCGAGCAAATAAAAAACGTATTTAGCTGCAATTTGCCGCCATCAATCATGAGAGCTACGGCCCGTAGCCCGTAGCCCGCAGCACGTAGCCTGTAGCCTGTAGAAAAAAAAACGACTCCCGTAACTTCTGCCACATGGCCACTTTCTGGCCACTCATATTTGCCACTTTTTTCTATTCACAATTTTACCTGATGAAGCGTTGCGTTTGCCGGAGGACCAGCGGGTGGCCAGAGGCAGGAGGCAGGGGCAGTGTCATTGATGCTTTCATCAAAACCAATTAGGATTTTCTGCAGGAGCTCGTTGAGTGGAAAATTGCTGGAGCTGAGAGCTGGTTTTTTTTCCCTTCTCTGTCTCATATTTCACTTTTTGCGCTGATTCGCATTTTTCTTTTTTTTTTTTTTCCAAAGACAACGACGACATCAAATTGCCATCAGGGAAAGCCCTTTGCCTTTGCCTTTTCCTTTTTCCATTTTCCATTTACGTTTTTTTGGGGGGAGTCTGAGCAAGTTGCTAAATGATACGTGAAAATGACAGCTGACGAGATCGATGACGTTAGTTTTGCATCCATGATGATGCAGGAGACGACGATGATGCCGGGGCTCTCCTGCGCTGATGATGATGCGGATTCGGATGATGATGATGATGGGGCTGAGCGATGTACCTTGACAAATTGACACATTGCCGGCATTGATGGCAGTGGAAAGTTAGTGCTTCTTTGATTTAAGGTCAAAGGAACTCGGAGTTCGTCCCGTTCTCACGCTACCTCCGCTGACTCTGACTCCGACTCTGACTCTACTCGGGGTCCCTGGGCTCATGCGATTTCAATTAACTGCCGCAACTAATTAGATTAAACCAATTGCCGGCAAGTAGACGAGCATTAAATGGTTCTCCTGGCACGCGGCCATACTTTTCCACTTGTTAGCAACGGCAGCAGTACAGAATGTCTCTATTAGAGACAGCTATTTCCCAGCCGGAAAAACAAACACTTTTTGCATAGATCCACGCGTGTCATGCTTCAGTCACGGGCTACACTCGTACCCGTACGCGTACCCTATGTGGGGCAGGGTGTGCGGCGGACCTGCATTGGCCATAAATCTATCGGGTTACAACCCCGCTCCGCACCGCTGCAGAGTGGAAACTGGCGCGTTGATTTAAGGACAATGTGGCAATGCGGATTACAACAATGCGGCAACAAGCCGGATAGTCTGTGACTCTGTGAAATCTGTCGAATTTGCGTGCTTTAATTGCCTCAACCGGAGTGCTTCCAAATGCATCCGAGAGCCCTGCGAGATGTATCTGGGAAATGCGCGAGCTTAGGGCTCTGCTGGAAAATGTATCTCAAGTTGCTCTTAAAGCTGCTGGTGGCTGAGAGCAAAAAACTCATCAGAATGCTGGGCAACGTCTGCGCAGCTCTTTGTCATTTGTATCTGTATCTCAGTATCTTTGTCTGGGCCTCTGCTTGTTCCCCTCTCCTCTCTCTTGCCGTATCTGTATCTGTGCAAACTTTAGCAATAAATTACAAAGTTGCCATTTTGTTTTTATCTTCTGCTGCTGCTGCTGCTCTTTTCTTCGTTTTTTTTCGTGCACTTTCTGTTTGCAAAATAATTTTGATTTATTTTTGCGCCCTCGCAGCAGCTCCACGGCCGCCATTTTTGCGGGGGTGGCAAGCCGAGTTTATTTATATAAAGCTCTCCATTAAAAAAGGCAACAATGGCACGACTCCGGCTCCACTCCACTCCACTCTGCACTCTCCACTCCGGTGGTATATATTTGTATATTTATAATTACTGCACATGCGTATTGCGGGGCCAGAGCCCCCTTTGGGCTTCGCTTTGGGTCTGTGCCGTTTTTGGGGGAAGTTTTGCGGGCCGTGCAGATACATAAATTTTCAAGTAATAAATTATAAAAGAAAATGGCTGCCTTAACTCCAACTAACTGGATCTCTCTCTCTCTCTCTACCCCGTCTGTTTTATCCGTAGGTCTGGTTCAAGAACCGCCGGGCCAAGTGGCGCAAGAGGGAGCGGAACGCCATGAACGCCGCTGTGGCTGCGGCGGACTTCAAGTCCGGATTCGGGACGCAGTTCATGCAGCCGTTTGCCGACGACTCGCTGTACACGTCGTATCCGTACAACAACTGGACAAAGGTGCCCTCGCCGCTGGGCACCAAGCCGTTCCCCTGGCCCGTGAATCCACTGGGATCGATGGTGACGGGCAATCATCACCAGAACTCCGTGAACTGCTTCAACACGGGCGCCAGCGGCGTGGCGGTGAGCATGAACAACTCGATGCTGCCCGGATCGATGGGCTCCACGCTGACCAACTCGAACGTGGGCGCCCCCTGCCCCTACACGACGCCCGCCAACCCGTACATGTACCGCGCTGCCGCCGAGCCCTGCATGAGTTCCAGCATGTCCTCGAGCATCGCCACCCTGCGGCTGAAGGCCAAGCAGCATGCCACCGGCTTCGGCAGCCCCTACTCGGCCCCCTCGCCCGTCTCGCGCTCCAACTCCGCCGGGCTCTCCGCCTGCCAGTACACGGGCGTGGGGGTCACGGACGTTGTCTGAGAAAACGCGCTCGGTGCTCTGCTTAACCAGCATCAGCACCACTTGCAGCACTTCTCCACCCACCAGTCGGCGGGAATGGGAGTGGGCGTGGGCGTGGGGGTGTCGCACAATGGGATGCAACAGCACCTGGGGGGAGGTGGGGGCCACGGGGGCCACGTCAACGGTATGCTGCACGGCCATGGCCACAGCAGCAGCAACAGCCTGCTGATGGATCACGGCGACCTTGGCCACTCCGAAGAGGGGGCAGGCGGTGGACACAGCATCGAGGGGGACAACAAGTCGCCTCTGGACTCCAACGGCCTGATGTCCGGCGGAGGCACCTCCAGCGGCGGTGGCGGTGGCACCAACGACAACGTCGACGAAGGGGAGGAAGACGTTATCGATTGAGAGAGTCCTGGAACGGAAGTACGAGATAAATAAATCAATCTATAGGCAAAGCAAAGTCGCAGGAGAGTTAGCTTAAGCATTCAGAAATAATTTTAGATGTTTGCGTAATTTACGGATAAATAAAGAATACCGAAACCCAAACCCAAACCCAAACCCAAACCCAAACCCAAAGGAGGCCTGCCCTACCCCCAAAATGCAAATTTTTCAAAGAACAATAATTAAATTTATGAAATCCAGAGAGAGGAGAGTGGAGAGAGGAGAGAGGAGTGATGTGAGGAAGATTAATTAGTTTTCGATTGAAATTGAAATTGCATTGTTTTGTATTTCTGGTTTTGAGATTAAATGCTAATTACGTTCGATCTGCCCCGCCCCACGCCCCCCGGGACACACACAGTCGATGGTAGAAGTTAAGTGTTTTTGTAAATAATAAAAAGCAAATATTGTAGCTATAGTCCGCATCTGTATCTATGGGATACAGGAAGTATAATCGAACCCCAGCCTCAACCCTCAACCTTCCGCTCCCGATCGGCGGCACTCGCCAGCCAAGAGTATAACATATATATATACATATAAATAGGTATATATATACCAGAAACGTATCACGATCAAGTCAAAGTCAAAAGTCAAAGTGTATTGTAACTAAAAGAAAAACCAAAACCAAAACCAAAACTAAAGCTAAACAAAAACTATATCAAAGCCGTAGAAGTTTTTAAGGAGTTGTCTAGTCGTATAGATCCGCCAGAGAAGAGCATATATATATATATATATATATATGTATATGTACCATATGTATATGGGTATGTATATCTCCCACTAAAGAACCCGCGTATAAATATAAAGCTATTTAATAATTGTAAACTTAATATTAATAGTTATAGAAATTGAATCAAAAAGAACAATAAAAATTATGGAAAAAACACGCCTCTGAATCAATGAATGAGTGAATGAATGAATAACGAGGGCAAATGGCGGTCAACCGCAGGGATAATGGATGGCTTTCCCCCATATGGCAACCGGGGGCGGGGAAGAAATTAAAAAATCAAATTGTAATTTACTGGGCCCAGGGGGAGCTTTTAGCGAAGGGGTGGGAGAACAATTGCCTCCCAGCCACGTTTGAAGGGAGAGCGAAAGCCTTAATTTAAAGATACAAAAATACGTTCTACACACAGGTCGCCTTCCCCCACGGACATCCCCCCTGGTGGCAGGCAGGCAAGTGTTTAATTCCGAGGTGGACCTGGTGCAAAAAGATCCATCCATCAATTTATTCATTACAATGAAATTATGTCGAATTTATATGCACCCCGCCGACCGCCAAGTGACAGGACACTGCCCCTGCCCTTGCCACTGCCACTGCCCCCGACCCCCACACCCAGCCGACAGGATTTCGTGCTGCCGGAAAATCACCGCACAATAAAAATAATAATAAAGGACATCCCATCCCCGGTCTTCCTGCCACGACTATGCAAAATGTTCGAGGGGTTGGTTTGGTTCCCATTCGGGCATCAAATTTGAATTTCATATGCTGCGCGCCCGCCCGACCGGCGTGATTGAAGCGTCGGCTAATAAAGTGCCGCCGGATCGGGGACGTCCTGGATTTCGAGGGGGGAATGTACGGGATGGGTCGGAGTAAGAATTCCCGCTGCGTTAAGCATCCATTACGGGGGGATGGGGGGTGTGGCCGGGCGGCCGGGCGACCCGGCGACCATTTGATTTATTTTATTCCCCTTTGCCCCGCTGTTAATGTTTTAATAAGATTGATTTTATTGCGGCCTCCACTGTGGCACTCTGTGTGTGTCTGTGTGGGTGGCTGTGGCTGTGGCAGTGGCAGGGGACGGGGGAGTCAAAGGGTTAATAAGTTGCGCTCCAGCTGTTTTACGAACTCCCTTATTGTCTCTATTTCGAAAATCTGCCCCGCTTTGTGGCCCTATTACTATAGGAAATTCTTGAAGAAGTGTACTTTCCTTAAGGGGTTTCATATCTCCTCTTCGTTGGCTACTGTATCAGTCCACACTTGCGTAATTAACTTTTCGGCGTAATTAATGCCAAGTCTAATTATTGTTAATCACGCTCAGACCGGGCCGGAAGACAGGCAAAGGCAGGAGGGAAGGCAGTGTACATAATGGATGAGATACAATTAAAATCAACTTCCTATGCATGCTCGAAGGAAAGCGAAGGAAATGTGTATGTATGTAGATAAAGGAGAAGTGGCAAAGATGGCTAAAGAGTTACACTTGGAGAAATTATAAAGCTTCAGGGAGCTTTACGTATCCTTTCAATGGAGTATCTATTTGTGTTCCAGTGTACTCTGATTGTTTCTTCCAACCCCATCTTGAGGAGACCGGAGACCCTTCCATCTGCGCGGCTTCGATTGTACACATAAAAGAAGCAGATGCGAGCGCCATCTTGAAACTGTCTCAAGACACAACGTATGCTGTCAGCCATTATTTGCCTGCCAGGCACTAACCATCCACCCAGCCACCCAGCCACCCATCAGAGACAATCAGAGGACCAGTTGGGTAACCAGGCCAACACATCTTCCTCCTCCTGCTCTCTCTCTCTCTTCGCTGCTCTGCTCCACTCCACTTGATTCCCCATCATTTACTTTGTCAGTATGCGGCAGCTCCATCATTATTACTGCTGCTGCTCTTCGAGCTGTTTTCCCATTGTGTTGTACATACAAACTCGTCATCGTCATCGTACTCGTATCATCATCATCATCATCGTCTCCAGATCCCGTTCCATCTCCATCTCCATCTCTGGCTGCTGCTGCTGTATTTTTCCCTTAGGTACTTGTCTTTCTTAACTCATTGCGTTGGCAATAAATCTTCGACGCTCTTATCTGCCAGGCACAGTTTGGGTTAGGATTGCCCCCAGTACCGCTCTCGTACCAGTGCCATCCCAGTACCATCCCAGTCCATGCCATATGTCAGTAGTCGCCTGCGTCTCGGCTCGGCTCGGGCCTGGGGGTAAAAATCTATGGCACCTGCTTGGGGCAAAGGGTTTATGGCTTAATTAGTCCCAGATTCAGGTCCATTTAGAGCAGTTTAAAATTCAATTTCTAAGCCGCTTTTACTGCAGCAGCTTTGGGTCTCATTAAACGGAAATGAAATATGAACTAAGTCTCGGAAAAGAAATCTAAATAATTGTCAGCTTCTCCATAAAAAGGAAACCCCAAATGAAGACAATAACACACAGGTCCTGTGCCCCAATATTCGGGGTTTATGGCCAAAACAAAATGATGGCCAGAAAGGCCGCACATAAAACACATCACATATTCGGCCGCTGCGCCCTGCGACTCCTCCAGACTCCAGACTCCGCCTGGCCGCTGTTTATTTATTTCAAATTTACTTTTTGGCCATTTTATGATGCCAAATTTTGACCTAAAAATCATAAAAATTGTAATCAAAATGTTTGCTGCTCCAGCACAGTTTATGGCCAGCAACCAGGCTGGGATTGGGGCCGCGAGAATGGTCAGATGGGGCCGTGCCAGGGCGGACCGGGCCGGGAAAATTCTAATAACGTCTAAGCGCGAGTCCAGGCGGGAAGCAGGAGCCGGCGGAAGACCAGGAGCAAGGGCATGGCCAGGACAAGCTGAAGGCTCAACGCTTATGGCTTTTTAATGGTGCCGTGTGTCGGTTTTGTGGCAAATAAAATGGCGCACATTAAAACCCTGCCTGCCTGCCACAAGGAGGCAGCAGCTGGCTCTGCAGCTGGAGCTAGAGGAGCAGCAACCAGCACCAATTGCAGTGAGCCCCGAACCATATTGGGGTCATGCATGGCAGAGCCGAGCAGAGCAGAGCAGAGCGTTGGGTAAATAAAAAATACATAAAAATATTTTACGAGCCAAGGCAGCCAGGAATAGAAGGAATAGATGCCCAAGGAGTAGCCACGGAGGACGCACAGGAGGCACGGAACCCCGAGATTGCAATAAAAATGGCGACAAATAAAATTGACATTATTGTCATGCGCGCGATTTGATATCGCCTGTGTGGCATGGGGCACTGTCGATCCTTGGACTTGGCAACAAAATGAGTAAATTTTAATTTACTTAAAAGGCATAAACATAGTAGGAGGCCAGTGGCAGATGGAGTTGATTGGACAACTTGTCTAAATCTCGAGATAGTTGCCACATTTCTAAGTGAATCAATCCATGCGTGAAGGTCATGGGGATTTGGAGAGAGAATAGAAAGCAAGTTCATTGTTTAGATATAGGAATATATATTCCCTTTGTGGCACAATTGCCGACGGCAAAACGGTATCTGGGCGCCCCAAACATCCTTCCAGGCAACGGCAACTCCCCGCTCGCACTTTACTCCCTCCGTTTCGAGAGTGCGTGGAGCCAATGATTATTCCGGGTCTTGTCATTCCAATTCGCATTATCCTTTGCACTTATTTTACTACTTTGTGCGCGGCTGCGTGCCCTTTCTCTGCCTCATGCAGATATCTGTGGCTGTAACTGTAATTGTGTGCTGGTGTGGGAGTGGGAGTGGCAGAGGGGTGCGTTTGTATAATGGTGGGTGGCGGGTGTTGCGACGCCCTCACCCAAAAGAGAGAGGTTAGTGTCTGTCGAGTAACTCGTATTGTCATTGTGCAAATAAAATATGTCACGACTCTCCCACTCTCCTGGTCTCCCGGTCTCCCCCACTTGGGATGTGCTTTTGGGTCCTGCCTCGGAAGCAACCACTGCCAGAAACACGCCCCTGTGTGTATCTAACCTTTTGTGCCCATTGTACTACAATCCATTGTAGTCCATTGTGCACGACGACACCCACAATGAGAGCAAATGTTTTGGCTGCTTACACTCGTACAAGGAAATGTCTTTTATATAAACTTGGATGAATGGCTGGATGGGGATGGGGATGGGAGAGATATATGTACATGTGCATGTGCGGTGTACGAAGAGTCAACCCACATTGATTTCACTGTCATGCAAGAGGAGGGACTTAATTGTGTATAGTCGTACCTTTTAACAAAACTAAACCCCTTTCGCATTTCGTATTTTCCTTCTGCAGAACAGAACCACACAGTTTTCACATGACAAACACCGAGAAATAAACACAACTATAGGGAAAAGCCAAAGCCAAATCCGAATCTAAATCCATGATTTCACCTGCCAAATCCTTTTCAAAGCTGGCAGTCAGGCGAAAAATAACGAAATATTGTATTTTTCATACACATTTTTATCGAAATATAAATGCACATCTGTGTGTGTGTGTATGGGTGGGGGGTGAGCCAACTACTACATATACAACTTTATAAAAGACACTCGTCTGTTACTCTCTCCCTCTCTCTCTCTTACTAACCCCATCCTGCTCTTTCTAACCCCGTGTCTTTGTGTTGAGTGCTTTTTGGCTAAATGCGAAATCGATTGGAAAACAATTTCCAATTTTTAAAGAATTATCGCCGCCATATTCGCGCATGCTGTACTAAATCACACATAAGTAACCTCTAAATCTGCTACCCGGTAGATCCCCTTCCACCACCCACACCCACACCAACACACACACACTCGTTCAGGGTGGAGGGGTGGGTGGAGAGGGAAAACCTTTTGGCAAAAAGCTTTTCCTTTTTGGCTCGTTTATTTCTTTTTTATTTCCCCTTTTTCCTGCTCCAGCAATATTTTCCATTTCATTTTCTGCGCGAATGCCGGCAACGCGTTTAGCTTTGGCTGCACGGCTCACTGACTTTCAGTTATACTAAATATATATACCCATATGTTTATATATATACATATATATAAAGAAATAAGAATGATTTATTCGCTATTACGACTATGGGATGCCCAGTACTTACCCATTTCATTGAACAAAGTGTGTAAAGGCTCTTCTTCCCAGCCTCTGGATATGCGTACATCGATGTGGGAGTCTCTGAATTCTGTATAGTAATAATATGAATAAAGATATAGTTTAGATACAAGTGAACAGAGTTCTTTCCAGAGAAATGAGCATACCCCAGACCCACAAGAGTACCAGGTACAGTAACCGTCGTATGTGTGTTATCTCCACCGCAATAGAGCTGGTGGCTGGGCATGGGTGAGCCGGAGGTGGGGACTGGGGGAATTCTGGGGAACGTAACCCGCAGCCATTTAGTTTTATGTGGCCCGTACGAGTGGGTTATTGCACCTTTGACTCGACTCCAACACCGTGTCTCCGTCTCCGTCTCCATTTTCATTCCCATTTCCATTTCGCAGAGGAACTTGTCACCCCGGAGGGCATCGGCTTGGGCATCCCACAAAGCATTATTTCACATGTGAGCCATTTATTATTATTTGTTTTTAACGAACCCCGGCTGAAAGCAGCCCAGGAGGAGCACAGGGATCCCAGCCGCAAGTATTTCCTAATCAGGTTTAACTACTAATAGGATTTGCGAGGTGCCGAATCGTAATTTACATGGCTTTCGCACGGGATACCCAAAGAATTGAATTGGAAGCCAGATCAAAGCTACCGCTAATGTATTGTAGCTTAAGCCAAATCCCTTTCGCCACTCCTTTCCTCTGCTTCTGCTGCCTCTCGCCTCCTCTCTTCTGCTCTGCTCCATCGGCCGGGGCACGCATGTGTGCTTAGCACAGGGTGGAGCCGATGGAGACGCCACTGACGTCTTTGATGGGCCTGTACCGGGCGTTGAATCGTTGGCGGAAGAACTTCCGCAGCTGAAGCCCCAGCGCGTAGAGTACCAGGAGCGTCATCAAGGCGGTGGTCAGGGCAGCGCACAGGATCATTGCCCAGTGGAAGTAGCAGGACACTGTCACAGACCGGTGAAGCCAACCAGTCAGGCTGGTGGTGCAGTCCTCCTCGACGCACTGGCCCAGGTCGTTCTCCACACAGCCCTCGACACAGCACCCGTTGGCGCCGCAGATGAAGAAGTCCTCGCTGCTACTTCTGCCACTCGAGCAGTTGAGCGCCTTTACTTGCCACAGAAGATCCAGCAACAGGAAAAGCATCATCGCATTGCCGTCCATGACGCCTCTTTTTCTCGAGATTTGGAAACAAAACTGGAAATTTTATCTGTAGCTTCCCCTGGGCTGATGTTGTTGGAGTAAACTCGGGATGGCAATGCTAGCGATAAATCAGAGGTTACTATGCCCAGATACAGATATCTTTTTCGTGCCATATTTAATGTCGATGTATTGAAAATTTGTTAACATAAAAGATTTGGCCTTAAGAATATTGTACTGCATTCTGTATTCGGGTGAAACTTGATGAAAAGAGGATATACTCAGATCTATTTATAGAGAGCTATCCAGCTTCCCCTCAGCATTCTCCTGTGGGTTCTTTGGGGGAATATACTCCGGCGGATTGTCGTCCTTGTCCCTGGGATTCGGGATGAAAGGGGTGTGTGGCCAGACCGATGGCTTCGCCTGCACCAGCCAGAGCTCGTCGAGCTGCCGCTGCAAGTACTGCAGTGCCTTCTGGTGCCTGCTGGTTATGAAGTAGGTGCAGCCCAGCCAGACGGTGGACAATACGATAGCTCCGATAATTATCAGAACGTTGCGGGGTATTTCTTCGATGAATCGGACCACAGCGTTGGCGGCGGCAGCTTCCTGGCAGACGTGGCAGAGCAGCAGCCCGAATGTGGCTTGACGGAGTATCGATGTAGTTCTCATTTTGGAATCGCGGTTTTCATGGTACTGAGCCGGAATCGGTTGGCTGTTCTGCTTTTATACTAGTGGGATCTTGGTGAGAATTTGCTCAAGTCTCGGAGTGGGTCTTTCCCAGTGCTGTTCCTCAGAGACTGCAATCTGGAATACATTCTACAAAATAAAAAGGTCTTTAACTTTTCAATGTATGTACATACATTCGAGTGGGAGTAGATCGACTTCCGAAGATGGTTGAAGCTCTACTTCCAAGAGGACAATTCCATGGGACATTTCCATATTTCAAATATATTTTTTTACATATGGAAATTCTTTGGGGAGAGGAAGGGTATCCCATATTCGCGTCAGGCGCTACGCTTTTGAGGCATTGCTTTAATATCGTTATCGTTATGGAACTCCTTGGGGTTTAATTAATGTTGCAACACTTGTCGTCGTAGTGTTGCTGGGTGCGGGGGAGGGGCACTTGAGGGATCCGAATGCCTATCAGCATTATGGAAATCCGAGAAATACCAGAGCTCGGGGCAACTCAAAGCGACCAAATCGCAAAACCAAATCAGCATAACAAAGTGATTCTAATGTAATGCGTGATTTTGCATAATTATAAAGTTAATAATTAAAATTATTTTGTGCTGCGTTGCACAAAACCGAAATGAAAACATTAAATTTTAATGATGCTCCTCCAACTCTGTCTCCCTCTCCCTGTCTCTGTCTGTCTCTGCCTCATGTGGGCGGCGGTGTGGTTGGCCATTTACTGGGGGACTTAGAGGCATGTCTATGGCTATGTACACATGTGGCACTGCCCCTCGGCATATAACTAATGCGTAAATATTAGCAAATACCGAAATGGAAACCCCTTTCTGCTGCCACATAAATTTTGAGCCACATATGCAACGCCGAATGCCGAATGCCGAATACCGAATGCCCCTCTCCCCCATGGATGCTGTATTTGTAATAAGCAATCAATTATTATTATTGAATTTAGGCAGGGTCCGTGGGGCAGAGTGGGAGGCTGTGCCGCCTCCATTGGGCAGCTGGTCAGCGCCACTAATGCGTCTAATGAGAATTTAAGCACACTTCAGGCAAAACCCCCAGCCCCCATGCCCCTCCTGCATTTGTGCGTGGATTTGCAATTCGAGAGGTACAGTTGTGCTCGCCGAAAGTGCAAATACAATTACATTTGGGGGTCGCATTTAGCGGCGGTTTTGGTTTGCTGGGTTTATGTTTTCCAATTTCCGATTGCCAATTTGTTGGTCGAAAAAACCCAAAAATCTGTGATTTGCAGAGGCCTGAAAATTCTGCAAAATGAGAGATTGGTATATGCAGGGTTATCATATCATAAGGATGCTCTCTTCTCTGTCCTCCCGATTCCGTTCGTAGACCCAGGCTTCATTCGAGGGGCCTATGGATCCCCCCCATCTCCTCTCCGCAACGACTATGCCACTGGCTGTTCCTGTGCCCCTGCTAACGGCCTACAGAGGTCGATTTACTAAACCGACATCGTTAATGATAATTTAATTATGGCCCTGCCATTCCGGGCTTTGGCGACTTAGGCACTCCTGCGATTCGGCTGCGGCCTGGCTAATTGCAACAAATCTGCTTTGGGGTCGGTCGGTCCGATGGCCCGCTCGGCGACCGCTTAGTCGCGGCTCTTATTAACTGTTAATTGCTGCAAGCCAGAGAGAGGCCACCACCCCACACCCCACACCCCACCCACGTGCAACGCAAAGCCATGAATATCCCATTCGCTGCTATCCAAGATAGCAGATAGCAATGACAGCTCCTGGTGCCATATGCCATATGCCCTTTCCGATATGAACTTAAACCGGAATTGAATTCCCGCCCCACCCTCCCCGCCCCGCGATGCGTGGCAATAATAAAACAAAAGTGTCAGCCAAAGAAGTGCGCTCTCGTTGCCGATTCGGATGTATGGAAATCCATATTGAAAATTGATTTAAATTTTTAATAGGCATTTCTCTCTTGTTGCATGTGGCATGTGGCGCTTTGATAAAAATGCCATGCACGCAGCAGTCGAACAATCGGAGGCTTACGGCGGAAGATACGAGTATGCCAGCCCAACGCTGATGGCCCTGACGGGCAGGGGCTCTATTTAAATATGGAAACAACACTCGTACCACTACGAATACTCGTACGACTACGAATACTCGTACGAATATAGCAAATGCCAAACAGAAATCGAACCTCGCAGCGGATCGATGCGCTCCAGCTTGCCGGGATGGAGCACTCTATGATTGGGGATATCTGGGCATCTGGCATGTATGCGATATGAATATCTATATATATGAAATATACTTGTTTGCGGAGCTGTCAAATCATATTTTAATCTGTTTTGATTGCTGACTTTTGTGCAAGGGATTTGTGCAGACTGCACCTGCCACAGAGGAAACAGCATCGGCATCAGCATCAGCTGCAGCAGCATCAGCGCCAGTTGCAGATGAAATGCAGCGGAAAATATTGCATTTTATTTGACTTTATTTTATTTATGCAAAAAACGCAGCAATTTATATGGAAAGCTCGTGTGTCCCCGGCTCTGACTCTGACACTGGCTATGGGTCTGTGCTCTGTGTTCTGTGCGTTTTCCATTTGTTTCATTTGATGTGCGAGAGTTAAGCAGTAAAATCCACTTTTTACGAGTTGTCCCCGGATTTCTCCCTTTCTCCCTTTAGAGCTTTGTGTTACTCATATGGGAAAGAAAGCATAAGACTGGACTGGGAATTTGTTATTAAAAGATTGCACGCCAGCGATGAGCAAGGAAGCACACACTGAACATCTCCAGAGGGAATCCAGAGGGAAAAAGTGGTATCATTCCCTCCAAAAACCATCTAAGTGCACCTCGAATGCACATTCTTCTGCATTAGCTGCCATTGAAATACGTAGTTCTCTGCTCTCAGTCACAGTCACAGTCACACAGATCACAGTTTGCTCCTCAGTGGTCACAGTTTCGTTCCTCGTGGGTCACAGGCTTTCCTAAGCAAACCTCATCACTGGCACGCACTCTTCGCCGCTACAGGACCTCCGACCGACCTCCTACATTGCGGACGCGGCTTTGGCAGTGACTTAAATACACATAACCCTGGATGGTGATGGTGCCACTGGGCGCTGGCGATGTCGTCGCCTCGTCCTGCTGCTTCGTCCTGCGTCTTGGTTGCGTGTCTCTCTCGTCTGGATTGTCAACATATTAGCTTCAAATTGCTAAAGTTCTGCGACTTTTGCTGTGCCCTCATTTTCTCACGCACGCACAGCTAGCCATCTCTCTCCCTCTCACTCTCCAGCACACCCCTCTTGCGCCCTCTTTCTATCACTTGGGGTGGGGGTGTGTGTGTGTGGCATCATTGTTTAATGTGGTGTTGCCAACTATTTCAGCCAAAGAGCTCACACGGGTTGCCGTTGCAAAGAGTCGGTTCGGGACCGCCGCCGGGTCCGGGTGATTTGCTTGCGTAGCTTAACAAGGCCCAGACCATGGTTGTCGGAGGAAGAGGGAAAGGCAAAGAGTAGGGGAACGGCACGGCACGGGTCCAGGTCCGTGTCCGTGTCTATGTCTCTGTCCGGCAGTCCCCCAGCGCCATCTTTGAGATGCTTTTGGTGCTGCGGCATTCGGTTGACATTCGTAAAATCTCAAAATCCCGAAGGTCGTTGCCAGGGATTTTCTCAGATTTGGCTAGATTTAAATGAATTAGTTGCTGCCGGCCCCGGCCCGATTGATTTTCTGACCTTTTCGCTGCTTTTTTCTCCTGCCTCTCCACGCTTCACTCTCCCAGGTCCCCTCTGCCGAGCAGTAGGCCAAAATGCAATTTGGCTTAAGAGGAATTGCATGCCATGACTCTCCATTAGCTGCAGTCGCCTCGCCTCGCCTCCTACCTCCGTCCCAAATGAGTACAAATGTGGCATCTGCTGGTGCTGCTCGTGCGCTGGTGCCGCAAAATAATATAGATGACACAAAATTAGATGGTTAAATGGGGAAAAATGCGCACTGCATTCTGCAAGTAATTAAAATATGAGAAAACAGTTTCAGCCTCGTCCGCCCCTCATAAAATATGCCAAAGTCAACAAAAGGGATGTCCGTACTCCGTCACTCTTCCTCTGAAGCCGTGGTCCTGGTCCTGGTCCTGGTCCTGGTCCGGCTGGTGGGCTTAAAAAAGCATCAAATTTCATATTCAAAATGGCACTTTACATGTTCAGCATAATTTATAAATGCACGCAGCACCAGCACCAGCAGAAGCAGCAGAGACAGCAGCGGGAGGCAGCAACAGACCTGAAATGTGCTGCGGTGGCCATATTTTTGAGGCAACATTGTCGACACTCGGGTCCAGGCAGGACTCTCTTTTGGAGGAGGATGGCTAGTAGATGGAAGTAGCAGGACCATCGATGGCATCGTGGCACTATCCGGCCAAGGAGTTGAGTAACTGTATGACCAAATTGGAGAGCATCTTTGGAATATGGTGGAATCTATGGAATCCACGTGTATGATAGACTCACCCTTTTGAATGCTCATTCTTCAAGAGCCAACCAATGATTACCGTATTTAATAACTGCTTTATCTTACCATCAATCAAATATAATCGAATGATTCCCCGATAAGGGTATATTGTCTTCGTAGTGGCTGCTTTCCTGTTCAGGTTATCCTTGTGTGGACATAGCAAACAGCAAACATGCCACAGTCCTGTTCCTGCCTCTGTCCCTGTCCCTGCCCCTGCCAATGCCACTGTCCTGGCATTCTGCCACCAGCCTTTGTCCAAGGTGTATGATGATTTTAATGGCCTCTCTTCAGGCAGAGCCGGACGGGGTAGAGGCAGTGCCAGGGGCAGGGGGACAGATGCAGAGCCAGAGCCAGAGCCTGGCCAACATGTTGAAAGGATTGCTGCGAGTTACGCCATGACCAGGCCATGCCATGCCGCACAGGCCGCACAGGCCGCATGCCGCGCCTACGTCCGTGTCCTGCCACAGTTGATTGGCTGTTATTTTCGGTGTTGACGCAGCCGGAATGGAAGAGTGGAAGG